GTTTATGTATTTCTTTTTTTATTTATGAAAATTCTTGGGCTTACTTTATATAAATATAGATATATATGCCTAAGCCAGAAGAACCATTACCAATACAGTTATTTAATATGAATATTAATAGTGATAAACGAAAAGGAAAGACTATAATCGATATAATCCCTATGACATCACCCGGATCTCCAATATCACCAGCTAGATCCCTTAATTATCCAGAATATTCCACCCAACATCTAAACCCAATATTTACTCCAGCGCCTGTCCTAAATAAGCCAACTAGTTCCAATAAATCAGTCTTTGAAGAAACAGCCTTTCTGATAGATGTTACGATTGATGATAAACATATCAATATTGACCCAAATAAATTGGCTCCCTTGTACCTTCAAAATCATCTTAATCCTTCGAATGGCAACAAAACCCGAGAATGGTATGAAGCCGTTCTCATGGAAACTGGATCCATATCTCTTGTTCACTTTTTTAACCCCACTACTAAGGTTATTTCTTATTCTAAAATACAAATAAAAAAATCGTTATCCTATGAAGATTGGGGCTGTACCCCAACTCAAAGAAGAAAACTACAAACTCAAGAATTTCGATACAAATCTTATAAATATACAGAATATATGGATGCTTGGCATAAAATATTTGCTTAGCAAAATCTCAATAATTCTCATACTTGGTATGTACAGTTTAAAATGCCTATACTAGAAAGATTTCCAAATTGGTTTCGATATTGGTTTTTAATATGGGGCTCTGGAACTCAAATATTATCTGATGCTTTCAAGAATGCTCAGACAAAATTTGCAAAATATAATGGAATAGATGATGATATAGATTACCATTTATATTTCATGGCAATAATTTTGAATATATTCCTCGATTGGGAAAAAGAATATTTATCAAATGGTGGGATATATTTAATATGGACCTAAACTTGATTAAACCCAAAAGAATTCCTCCTCCTTCCACAGAATATCAGAACAATAATGCCAATGAATTCGACCAAAATAAGTTTGCAGAATATATCAGAAGAATGCGCAAGCAAAATCCAAGAGCTACCAAAGAGGAACTCGAAAATCAGCTTTTAAAAATAATTGAAGAAGAAGCTTTTGATGCAACGTCTTCGTCCGAGCCCGAACAAATGGAAGACGAGTTCAGCCAGAGGCCCGAATAACCAGCTGTCAAAAATACTGTACAAAGTCATATCAAAAGTACTATCAAAGAAGCTCCTATCAAATCAAAGTAGATGCTTCCGTACAAAAGTAGCCGGCAGAAAATACTATTAAAGATGCCACCGTACCTGATAGCCAACAAAAGCTACTGTAGAAGATGCTTTTTACTTTTTCCTTTTACTCTAAGTCTTGTTCAATTGTAAAGATTCTCTTTACGTCCTGTCTCATTGCTCTTTATATCCAAAACGAATCTCTTCCTATCCAAAACGAATCTGCTTTATGACACGAGACAGTTCATCCCTTGTCAACTCAGCACTTTTCCTCCTCTATATAAACCACTTGAATCTCTCATTTGAAACAGATCGGGAAGAACTCGCTCTCTCCTCTGAAGCTCCAACTCCCTTCTTTCCTTAAGGCTTTGCCTTCCTCTCCGAAGATTCATCTACCTTCTATTACCTTACCTGATCTCATTTATCTTGCCTGCTATTTTCAAGCAAGATCTTTTCCTTTGTTCATAATTTGTAAAGATGTGTGATTGTAATTTTCATAAGTTACCTTCGTTCTGCCCGGACGAATGGAAACACTTTGCAAGTTTTTGTATATGTAATTTGTGAGTATTACTGTCTTGTGAAAATTGTTGTATATGTACTCTTTATGAATCAGTTTGAATAAAACTTGTCTATATTTGTATTATGCAGTTAAAATACGAAATAATATTTACACTACTTGGATCATAATAGATATTTCTGTAATTTCCCTTATCATTATCCTGTGTATCTTTTTATATTATACTTCTTTGTTTAGATTATTATTAGATTATATAACAATGTTTTCAATGTTGCTTAGATAAATACAATTTTTAACTGTTTGAGATCTTGGCTTCTATTTGTATCAGAGCCACTGTAAAGTAGATCTTCTTAAATCTTTACTATTAGACCATTTTTAGCTGATAATGGTTTTTTATAGGATAAGATTATAATAAAATTTGTCATTTATACGGTAGTCCGAGTTTTAAGACTCATTGTCGCCCAGTCATTAAAGAACATTTAGGCCAAGAAGAGCCGTTCAGGACGTAAGAGGTTGACCAAAGTCATTATCTGTACCAATAAATGGAAAATTTTATTAAAACCTTATCTAATAAAACACTATCATCTTCTAAAAATACTCTAAGGATAAAGAATAAAGAAGAAGTGGTCATTGAAAATATTGAACAACATATTCAAAATTGGAACATACCAAAAGTCCCAATAACAGATGTTTATAAAGGGAAAATTTTAATTTAAAAATTGGATACGCTATCAAAACGGGAGAATAAAGTTTACCTGTCCAAAATGAGCAAGAAAATCTTCAGCTATTAACAAATAAAATTATACAATCTCATAAAAATAAAGAATATCAATATCTTCATATAGGACTAATACAAGTAGCCGTTAAACCATTAATTAGATTAGGATTAAATACTTCAATTTTACTATGTCTACGAGATGAAAGACAATAATTTTTCAGATTCACTATTAGGAATGATTGAATCAAGTTTATGTAATGGACCAATCTATTTTAATTGCTTTCCTAATTATGCTATATCATTAAATGATCCTAATCTACTTAGAGTATTAACCTTAAATATTAAAACACAAGGATTTGACATGTTACAAGGATCCCAAAATATAGCTATAATCTATCGAATATATTACAAAGTAATGACTACTTTAAGCCCCAATGTTATACAAATAGATACAAATGGACAAACTACTTTCTTTCAAACAAATATTGAAAGATCAAATATTATTATTCCCAAAACAATACAATGGTCGCAAATAAAACTCCCACAAGAGTGGAAAATTCAGATATCTAATCAATTAATTAAAACTCCTAGAAATAATATTCCTAATCAAATAATAGAAAATGTAGATGGAGAAGTAGAAATGCAATTTAATAAAAGATCTCCATCCTTAAAAACTAAAGATGATACTTATCTTTCCTTATCAAAAAATCCATCAAATTTCTTATCATCAAGAAAATCTGTATCCAGCATATCTAGACCCAAAACCCCATCATCTTTAGAACCTGAAATTCAAGGACTAGTTAGAACTTCAGAAAATATACATAAGCCTGTATATCAACCAATTCACGCCGATTCTCCAGATAGAGATTTTCAGCTATTAACTTTACAAAAAGAAAATAAAATAAATATAGAATATATAAAAAATGACTATTTAAGTGAAAACAATAAATATTTTTGAAATTGGTATTTAACTACATTTTCAAAAGAATTAATACAAATGACTCATAAAAGATATAATAAATTTTTTAAGGATTCTTTGAATGGCTTAAAACTACGTTACTTTTAAAAAGAATAAAAATCCCAGAATTTCAAAAACTCCACACTCTCTAAAATCAATATCAAACATATATTACAGATCAACAAAAAAATATTAGAAGTATTCATCCCCCTGAAGAAAGTATAAAAATTATAGGAAAAGATAAGAAAGAAGAATTAGAAACCATAGCTACTCCATATAAAATACTTCCTGGAGAACACTATCATAAAATAGAATTATTACCTCATATATTAGAACAAAATAATTATACAAATTTATATTTGCAAACCATAGGAAAACAAACAACCAGAATAGAAAACATTATCAAACAACCACAAGAAAAAATAGAAGAAAAGAAAAAGGTAATATTATTTAAACCTCCTCCTCAAATTAATAAAGAAAGATTTCAAATGAAAAAAGAACATCCTTCTGAATTATACCAATAGAAGCCAAGATCTCAAACAGTTGAAAATTGTATTTATCTAAGCAACATTGAAAACATTGTTGTATAATCTAATAATAATCTAAACAAAGAAGTATAATATAAAAAGATACATAGGATAATGATAAGGGAAATTACAGAAATATCTATTATGATCCAAGTAGTGTAAATATTATTTCGTATTTTAATGCTAAAAATTAATTTAAACTGCATAATACAAATATAGACAAGTTTTATTCAAACTGATTCATAAAGAGTACATATACAACAATTTTCACAAGACAGTAATACTCACAAATTGCATATGCAAAAACTTGCAAAGTGTTTTCATTCGTCCGGGCAGAACGAAGGTAACTTATGGAAATTACAATCACACATCTTTACAAATTATGAACAAAGGAAAAGATCTTGCTTGAAAATAGCAGGCAAGATAGATGAGATCAGGTAAGGTAATAGAAGGTAGATGAATCTTCGGAGAGGAAGGCGAAGCCTTAAGGAAAGAAGGGAATTGGAGCTTCAGAGGAGAGAGAGAGTTCTTCCCGATCTGTCTCAAATGAGAGATTCAAGTGGTTTATATATAGGAGGAAGAGTGCTTATTTGACAAGGGATGAGCTGTCTCGTGTCATAAAGCAGATTCGTTTTGGATAGGAAGAGATTCATTTTGGATATAAAGAGAAATGAGACAGGACGTAAAGAGAATCTTTACAGCTGAACAAGACTTAGAGTAAAAGTAAAAAGCATCTTCTACAGTAGCTATCAGGTACGGTGGCATCTTTAATAGTATTTTCTGCTAGCTACTTTTGTATGGGAGCATCTACTTTGATTTGACAGGAGCTTCTTTGATAGTACTTTTGATATGACTTTGTACAGTATTTTTGACAGCTGGTTATTCGGGCCTCTGGCTGAACTCGTCTTCCATTTGTTCGGGCTCGGACAAAGACGTTGCATTGCTTCTTCTTCAATTATTTTTAAAAGCTGATTTTCGAGTTCCTCTTTGGTAGCTCTTGGATTTTGCTTGTGCATTCTTCTGATATATTCTGCAAACTTATTTTGGTCGAATTCATTGGTGTTATTGTTCTGATATTCTGTGGAAGAAGGAGGAATTCTTTTGGGTTTAATCGAGTTCGGGTCCATATTAAATATATCACACCATTTGATAAATATTCTTTTTCCCAATCGAGGAATATATTCAAAATTATTGCTAGTATTCTCAGAGATCCCATTTTATAATCCAGGGTATCTGATTTATTGCCATGAAATATAAATGGTAATCTATAACATCATCTATTCCATTATATTCTGTGAATTTTGTCTGAGCATTCTTGAAAGCATCAGGTAGTATTTGAGTTCCAAAGCCCCATATTAAAAACCAATATCGAAACCAACTTGGAAATCTTTCTAGTATAGGCATTTTAAACTGTACATACCAAGTATGAGAATTATTGAGATTTTGATAAGCAAATATTTTATGCCAAGCATCCATATATTCTGTATATTTATAAGATTTGTATTAAAATTCTTGAGTTTGTAGTTTTCTTCCTTGAGTTGGGGTACAGCCCCAATCTTCATAGGATAACAATTTTTTTATTTGTATTTTAGAATAAGAAATAACCTTAGTAGTGGGGTTAAAAAAGTGAACAAGAGATATGGATCCAGTTTCCATGAGAACGGCTTCATACTATTCTCGGGTTTTGTTGCCATTCGAAGGATTAAGATGATTTTGAAGGTACAAGGGAGCCAATTTATTTGGGTCAATATTGATATGTTTATCATCAATCGTAACATCTATCAGAAAGGCTGTTTCTTCAAAGACTGATTTATTGGAACTGGTTGGCTTATTTAGGGCAGGCGCTGGAGTAAATATTGGGTTTGGATGTTGGGTGGAATATTCTGGATAATTAAGGGATCTAGCTGGGGATAGAGGTGGATATATAGATATTGGAGATCCGGGTGATGTCATAGGGATTATATCCATTATAGTCTTTCCTTTTCGTTTATCACTATTAATATTCATATTAAATAACTGTATTGGTAATGGTTTTTCTGGCTTAGGTAACGGTGGTAGATCTGGACCCCCCCTGCAAAAATTCACGGGTCAGAAAATCAGGGAGAGCATTAGCAGAACCGTGAAGATGTTCAATAGAAAAATCAAATGCAGATAGAATAGCTTGCCATCGAGCAAATATCTGTTTAGAAACAAGATTTTGAATGTCTTTTTGCAAGATATCTTTAGTAGATTTACAATCTGTTCTTATAAGGAAAGTAGTATTAAGAAAATCACTTTGAAATTTATTCACGCAATGGACTATAGCGAGAATTTCTTTTTTAATTGTCGAATAGTTCTGTTGAGTTGGATTCCATGCTTTTGAGGTATAACGTACCAGCTTTGCTAGAAGCTCGATTTGAAGATCTCCTTTCTAATCTTCGATGTCCAACCCTTTCTCACTATAAATGGTATAAAGATGTTTTCTTTACTGGCCTTTTAATAAGTGAAGATAGTAATTCCGATCATGCATAGTGCGGCAATTTTGTTGCCTGCTTCATTTTCGTATATTAGGCATGTTGTTACATGAGTCTTCTCTTTTATAGTTTAATTTTGTAATTGTTCTTGATATATAGTTTTTTGAGCCATCAATACTACCTTCAACATCAATATTACTATCAATTGAAATTCCCCTCTACAGTTTGATTCATTGATTTGACTATGTGTTATTGTCAATAGAACCTCCATTTTAATTATGTATTTGATCCTCTGTTATCATAACCTAACTGGTCACTGGAATGGAGAGGTGTTGAGTTTGGTTTAATTAGTAGATTAAGTAGTTCAACTGGTCGTCAAATTGGTTGAACCATTGAAAACCAATTAAAACTATGAAATATGTAACTTTTTTTTTATGAACTGTATTTCAAAATCTGAGTTCTGGTTTCTGTCGAGCCCAAGTGTTTGGGATCCGGTTGGCCTTCAACTGGTTTGGTCCGCTTCTAATGACATTGTATTTATTATTGCTCTTCCATTTTTTTTCCACCCTGGACTTCATTTTTATTCTAGTAATGGGTTTTTGTTATGCTAATTTCTCTTTATGTTGGTTTGCTTTTGGCTATATGTTATGTTGATAATGGTTTCTCATTTTTATGTTTTCTTTTTTTTTTAGGTCTATTTTCAACTCTAGATATGCTCGATAGATAGATAGTATGCAAGCGTATGGAGATCCATGTTTCTTCCTAGAGCCAGATTCTGTCCATGGAATGGAGGATGAGGGTGGTGAAACTGCTTGTATTTGTGTGTTAATCAGAATTACCAAGGCTGCAATCAATCTTCTTTGCTCATCACAAAGAACACTGTAGGGTTCTTTATTACTCCAAGTACCTTTTCATATGCAAGTTATTAAGATTTGTATTGTATATCCTTTGTTACGATGCAGAATTTGTTGGTGTCAGGTAGTAAAATGTGCTGATGTAAAAGGTACCGGTGGTAAATGACCCTTGTCCTCATGGCTGTTGCCTTGTGGGTGTGCTTGCAAGCCAGCCAGACTAAATAAAAGTTTTCCTTTTTTGGGTTTTGAGGGGAGGCTTTTTAGGGCCTTTTGTCCCGAGCCTCCCCTCTGTGTGTGTTTCTGTGCTTGTGTCAGTGTCTCTCTGTTTTATTTGTTTATCCTTTCTCCTTTTCTTTTACTTATAATTGCATCTGCCGCGCATATATCGATCAGTGCATTGGCAATCAACTATCACTCTGCAAGTACATATTATATCGACCCACTTGACAAATGGAGATTATCTGTCTTCAATGGCTTACAGCAGTATGAATATTTTGAAATTTAATTTTTCCTCTTCTCTTACTTCGAATTGCATCGACTACACATATAGCGATCAATGCATTGGCAATCCATGACCACTTATCACGAATGCTGGTCCATATGACAAATGGATGTTACCCATGGCTACAAAAGTATGGATACCTCAAAATTTAATCTTTGCTGCTGTATTTGTTTAATGCTTTTCTTCTCATGTCCCTTATCTGTTGATGTTGTTACCCCTCCATCTCACATAGAGTGCACATATACGATCAATGCATTGGCAATCGCCGACCACTCAAACTGTGGATTATCAGTCAATGTGAGCCTTTGTTGATGGCTTACACAGGTGCCAATATTCTGTTGTTTAGATCTTTACTGCAACTAAATTTTTACATGTCTATCAGAGTTATGGGTCTCTGCAAATGTATTTCATTTCATTTGATACACATGCTCTTATATTCCAGGGGAAAATGTATTTTTCAGTTACCTATTATGTTCCGTTTATATCGTCTTTTGTTTACATGGATATAACCAGTGTTTCAGAATTTGGAATTGGGCTCCGGATCACAAGGGGCCCACTTCCAATTTGCCTAGTGTGATTTGGGACTCAAGTTGGACTGGTCCCCATAATTAAAATAGAAACAAAAAAGAAAAATTATAAAATTTGAGATTTGGGGCAAATGTAGGGATCCTCAGTTAACAAATAGGCAAAAGAATTTAAAAAGCTGGAGAAATCGGCGCATTGCATACGTGATCATGAAAAAACCGGTTACAACTCCCAAATAATCTTTCATTTATGTTGGTTATGACATCGGAAAAGTGAAAGCTAGTCGCCTTCATCTCTTTTATGTGCAAAGCTGTAGAACATGTGCTTATATGCATTTGACCATGATAGAGATTGAATGGCCATCTCCCTCTCTTGATTCCTCTCTCTTGTCACTCTGTCTGCTGTTCTTTAGTTGGTCCTCACTATCTTGGTCTCTCTTTTTCTATCTTGCTTCATTTCCCTTCATCTCTCTATCTCTCTCTTTCTGCCTCTTTCCTCTTTCTTACTATTGCCATTTTCCTCTCTTTGTCACTGTATCTCTCGCTCATATGTATTGATTTCTATAGTTTTGCATTTCTATGTTTCTTACATGCCCTACTTTACATATACATAGGGTACTTCAACTTTGAAGCTATAATGGCCATGGTTCTCTTCGGATGTTGTATCATGTTTATCATTGATTTACATATTACAGAGGGTAGCTTTTATTCCATTATTCTAATTCTTCTTTTATTTATCCTTAGTTTTTATTTCGTATCTCTTGGAAATAAGTAATTTCTGTATTGGATGCATTATTTCCATAGCTCGTGGAAATAAATAATTCATGTTGAATTTGATGCGTTGGATTATATTGGGTTACTCTTGCCATCAAGTGCAATAATTCCAGTAGACAATCTTTCTTTCTTTGTTAATAATTTTACTCGTGTAGATCTGATCAGTTTATTTTGCTAAGATATTTTTCAAACCGTTTGATTATTTTTGTGTTTTTTTTATGGTCGGAAATGTTATGATAATGAATTCTCATGTTCTGTTCTTTTCGGCTATTGAATTGGGAATTTTGTACAGGGACGTGTTCGTATTTCAATATTCTTTGATTGATTTAGACTCTGTTGATGGTTTATATGTTATTGGGCAATTTTCCATTTTGTAACTGTTATTTTGTGACTCTTGTAATGGGATTTAACTATAAAGGCACGTTATTTTGGCAGATATTTTAATTGGAACTCTTTGATCTTTTTTGTTTCATTTATTTGCCACTTGGTTTTGCTTTGAGTTGCTGATCCTTTTCATAGGAAGGGTTCCTTTTACTTGAAATTTTATTGCGAGAATTTTGGTGGGTAAACTTGGTGGTATTTCTCTTTAATGAATTTTTGTATCGTTATGTCCTCTCTTGAATTTGAAAAGTCTGGGTTTATGTATTTTCCTTTATTTGTGAAAATTCTGTGCATACTTCAGATCTTCTCGCTTCCCATGGTTAACACAATTTTGGTATCTGCTTTCTTTTCTTAACGTTAGGAATCTTGTCAAAGGAGTCCGCCCTTTATTTTCTTGGTATATTGTTTGTTGAACCATCAATGCTATTTGTTATTGTCAGTTGAAGCCCGATTTAATTATGTATTTGATGTAGTGTTATCAAACTGAACCAGTCACTTATCCTGAAGTGTTAAATCGGTTCAATAGCGGTTTGACTGGTCTTCAAATCAGTTGGACCGAAGGGAACCAATCAAAAGTCTAAAATGTGAACTTCTTTTTATGAAATATATTAAAAGTCTAAGGTGTGGTTTCTGTTCGACCCAAGTGTTTGGGTTCTGGTTGGGTCCCAACTTGTTGGCTGGCTGGTTCACTCCTGTTCCGATAACACTGATTTGATCCCTCAATCTCCCCCTTGGTTTTCTGTGATAGCTTTTGCTAAGAACAATGCATTTCCTTTTACTCTTTTCTTTTTTTGCACCATTCTTCATTTCATTATTCTGTTATTTTATAATGCTTATTCAATTATCCTGGATAGCTTTTTGCTATATGTTTATAGATATATTGTTTCTCATCTCTCTCTCTCTCTCTCTCTCAGGCTTTTTGCTCGACTCTTGATACATTCGAAAGATTCTGTGCAACTATATGCTTAAAGTGATCCATGTTTCTTCCAAGAGCCGGATTTTCTCCATGGAATGCGGGGTGGAGATTGCTTAATATGCTGGTATTTGTGTGTTGTCTGTATAAGCAACGTATGCAGTCAATCTCCTTTGCTCATCACAGGGAACACAGTTGGTTACCTTACTACTGCAATCATTAAGATTTTTTATTGTGTATCCTATGTTAGCATGCATAATGCATATCCATGTTAGGATGCATAATGCATGGTTTGACTATCAAGTGTCTCCTATATTGTTTTTGTTTCGGTAGGTGATTTGCTGATATTAGGGCTATTGGGTTGGATAGTGAAATGGGCCTGATGTAATGGGTGTGCATGGCAATTGAGTCTTGTCCCTGTGGCTGTTGCCTTGCGGGTGTGCTTGCAAGCCAGCCAGACTACCTAAATAAAATTTTATTTTTTTGGGTTTTGGGGGGATCCCTTTTAGGGCATTTTGTCCCGGGCCTCCCCTCTTTGTGTGTTGCTTGTCTTGCGCTTTTATTTCTTTGTTCTTTCATTTATTTTATTTTACTTTGTTCGAATTGGATCGACCGCACATTTATCGTTCAATGTATTGCCATTTGATGACCACTCTGAAACTACACATTATTAGTGCAAAACTAAGGGATGTTATGCAGATCATAAATGGCTTCCACAGGTATGAATATTTTGAAATTTAGTTCTGCCTTGTCTTATTTTGAATTGCTTTGGTTTTGCATATATCGATCGATGCATTGGCAATAGACGGCCATGCTGAATATCAGTTCAAATGACAAATGGATGTTTCCTGTGGCTTTACATAGGTATGAATATCTCCAAATTTTATCTTTGCCGCTCTATTTGTTTCCTTCTCATGTCTCATACTATGTCACGGCATTTGCCCTCCATCTCACATGGGCTGAGCATATACAATCAATGTATTGGCAATTATCGACCACTCTGAAACCTCGATCCAGACGTACAAAGTCCAAATGACACAACGGATGTGAGCCATTGTTGATGGCTTACACAGGTACAAATGTTCTGTTATTTAATCTTTACTACTATACAATAATTTTATTTTCTCTTTCAAGAATTATGAGTCGTTTGCAAACATGCATTTGTTTCATTTGATACAAAATCTCTTATACAGAGCGGCGGGTTTTCACTTCATTAACTATATGTTTCCGGTTGGCATCATCTGTGACTTGTATGATAAAAGAAAAACCATTCAGGTACCTATCATCAGCTACAATGAGTGTATCTATTTATATATATCAGTTCATATTGTTCCTTTTGCATGGATGCAATCAGTATTCAAAATTTGGAATTTCGCTTTTGATCACTTTGGGCCCAATTCCAATTAGCCTGGTCCAACTCGGGACCAGAGTTGAACCGTATTCACTTGACCAAGAAACAAACAACGACAAAAAATAAAATGTGGGGCAATTGTGGGATCCTTGAATCAGCACCGCCATTCCATGTTGGACCGGTCTGCAGTTAAAAATGGAACCAAATTTTTTTAAGAAATCCAGAGAACTGAGTGATTGCGATGTGATTTTGAAAATGCTGGCTACGGCTCCCCAAATAATTCTCATGTATCTATAGAGTTAGATATTTTCATTAAAAAAAAGAAAATCCACACATGTAGCTTATGACATGGGACAAGAACAGATAGTCGTGGTTGAGCTCAAAGCTGTAGTATGTTCTCTATATATTTTAACCGTGATAAAGATTCTCTTCTTGAAGAAGCTGCCTTCCTTCTTTCAAGGGCCGTACGAAATCAATTCTTGATGGTGGAAGGTATTAACGCAGTTAACAATTTCAAAAAAAGATGGTGGAAGATATTAACTCAATTTTAGCTATTGGGAATTTCAGAGTCTTTTTTGGGTGACAAAGGTAGGATGCAAAAGTCTGAAAGTCAATTATCCAGACCTATCGTAGTGTTTCTTATGGGTTATTTTCTCTCACCTTACAAATGCTTCTGTATAATGCAGATTCTGTACTTTTGAATTAATATCCGCATTCAATTTTTATATGTACAGCTGCTTTACGTATTTCCGTGTTCATTTTTTATCTGGGTTTTATCTAGGTGGGGTCATACCCCACATATTTTGTTTATTTACGGAGAAAGCTTATGTCTTCATCCCAGTTTTCAGGATTGTTTGAGCTTCTGGCCTCTTCGCTTCTACTATTTTAGGCTTCTACAAAGTTGACTTGAGCACTTAGGGAGATGGTCACTAAGAGGTGAAATCTCAACTTCCGAAATTTTGATGATAAAAAATTTGATGATAATGTTGTTTCGATCACCATAGTTGAGCAAATTGTCTTTTGTGCTCATGGATGTGAATGGATTCTTTTCCTTCGTGTTTTCAAGTTCTTACTGTGATTCTTCTCATTTGACAAGCTAAGGGCGTGGCTCACTATTTTGTCTTTGTTATTTTTCCTTCATTAGTTAGTGTTTTGTGTCCATCTTTTATTTTTCCTGCTCCCACTCTACATGTCTCAGTGTCGTGCGACTTGGATTTCTCTCCTCTTTTTGGTTGGTTCGAGTTGAGTTCCTTTTAATTAAGCTCAAGTCTCACTGTGGTAATTGTTCTGTGTTATGTTTTCTTGTTCATAAATTCACAAACTAAGCTTTGCTGGTTGCAGGCATCAAATTTTCAGGAATTTTATATTGATTCCAAGTGAGCTTTCAGCTATGTACTTTGTTTTCATATAATCGATGTTGTGATTGCTCTTGCAATCTTTTTGTTAATTATCTTTTGAAAATTTGTTTCATGCGGGCTGGACCGCATTTCTAGTTATGCATTCCAGAAAGTGTAAAGCATCCTTCTTAAAGATAGATACAAGTAGGTGTTCCATCTTAAAACAATGGAAACTAACGGTCCAAATGCTTTTTATTAGATTTTTTTTTAAAAAAAAAAAAATTATTTATTACTTCATATTCATGATCTCTATGTTAGAGATTTCCTTAAAAATTAAGTCTTAAAATCCATATCAAAAATAGATTTATTGAGAGGCCCGCATTTCTACATATGTGGGCTTGGCCGCATAGAAACCGGGTCCTTACCTTTTGAGCGAATGTACAAATTTAAGTTTTGTTACTGTCCAAATTATTTGAATTTATTTACTTGGAAAAATGATAGTTATCAATTTGTAAGAGAATTAAATTTGTGAAACTAAGTAAATCTACTGTCCAAATTATTTGAATTTATTTACTTGGAAAAATGATAGTTATCAATTTGTAAGAGAATTAATTTGTGAAACTAAGTAAATCTTGTATAGTATCAATTTGCTGCGTGTTGTTTCCAATCCAATTTTCATAAATCTGAATTTACATCGCAAATAGTCCAATGCAGTTACTTGAGAATTGTAACTTCGGCTGGAATCTTTCAGCTGTAAATACTGATTTGCTTTGTTTTGCGCGAGTAACACGAGAAATTAGAAAGTAAAAGAGCAATGGGTGTTGCTGATTCCATGGTTATTCAAGGCAGAATTTGTTTTCAGAAATCCCGGTCCGACTTATATACCTTGATTCAAGGTTGGATCGGCAATCTCAATCTGCTAAAAGTTTTTTATAGCATGGGGCTAGTTTTTGCTTTGTTTATTCTGAATGGGCTCAGTTTATGCAAGTTCAGAATCTCATTATTTTATATAAATCAACCTCCGAAGTATGCATTTTGATGTATTACTGTTGGAAGTTCAAAATCTCAATTGCATTCTACATTCATCAAATTTCGAGGGACGTGTAGTCTTGGGTCTTTTATGGTTAGATTTTTATTTGCATCATTTATTCCAATCTCAATCTAAGGTAAATGGTAAGACTCAAAGGAGAAAAAAAAAAAAAAGGTTTTGACGTGAGCAAATATTTTCAAAGTGAAATTTATTAGCTGTTCTATGCCATAATTTTATTTGCATAGTTAATTATGGATGCGGTTAGTATGAGGCAGTAAATTTAAACAATCGAATTAAGGTGCTAATATAAACTTTGTTATAAGATGCAATTTTGGTGCAAAAAATCCTTGGGATGATTTTAGAATCTATTTTCATCTCAAATTATTAAATTTTAAACTTTAGAAATAGTTCAAAGCTAGCGGTTTTATTAATGCATGGGAATCTTAAAAATAAATGTTTTAGGTAATGTATTGGAAGACGTACTTTTTTTACGACTTAATTTTTTTTTTTTCACATCCACGTATTTTGCAATGTTAAAAACAACTTTTTTGGATGAATTTACGAGGTGCACCTTAATTTTATAATATAAGGTGTTCTCTTTATATAAACTATTTTCTTTATTCAATCCTACCTGGCTGGGTGAAAGTCTTGGGTTGTGTGGTTTTCTATCTTTTTTTGTTTTGAACCTATTTTATTTTGAATGGTCATCTTTGGGGTGGTTTTGGGTCAATTTCTATTTTGTCTTTTTGAGATAGTAATAATTATGGTCATGTCCTTTCTAGCAAAACTTTTACCGTTAGAATGATCCTCTAGACTCATGAATGCCGGAGTAATAATAGTTAGTGGGCATTGAAACTTCAGAGGTGTCTCAGGACGGCTTTAGGGAATAGTTCTTTTTATCTTATTGCATAAAGGGCGCATCATGTTAGGTTCTAATAGTTCTTTGCTTGTTATGTTCATTCTTCATTCTTTCATAATTTACTGAAGTATATTATATATATATAGGTATTTCTCCAGATAGAATGATTTTTTAGGATTTTCATTTTTCCCCTTGATTTCTTTATTTCAAATCCGTTCTTGTCTTGGTAATCTTAAATTGCTTCCATTGTTGTCAAGTAAGAGCAAATGAATCCCTAGATACATGAACTTTGTTTCTCTTTTTTTTTTTTATGTATTTAGCTGCTCCTTAACTTGTTTTCATGCCTTGAGGGGGGAAAAAGTAGAATATCAATAAACAAAACATGTTTCCAAATTTGTTTTACGTATCTTGTGAAATGTAATTTTGAGCTTGAAACACAAATAGTGCACCAACATTGGTTGGTCTATATTTTTAATTCTTGTATTTCGTTGGTTTTTTAGTGATCTTTTTTTTCCTACTTCATTTTGACACTTATCGTGAATGTAAAACCATCTTTCACATGGTGGTCTGTAGAGTTTGCTGTCCTGCCGTAGAGCCCTGAGATTGACTTTTATTTATTTATTTATTTTTATTTTTCTGTATTTTCCATGTTTTAGAAAAATGGGTCGCGTGTGATCGAGTCCTAGGGAGCTCTGGAGTTGTTGCAATCTTGTTTATAGTGCTTAAGCTTTTCATTCGAAAGTCGCTTGTCCAACTGGTGGATTGGGCTCCAACTGGTGGATTGGGCTCCTTATTCCCAGTGGAGTAAATCACTTTTTTTTTTTTTTGTCTTTTTTGACTAGTTGAGCGAGTCGTTTGGGGTGTATTTTGATTAGGAATATCATTAGCATTAATTTGTTGTGCATTTCCTTTATTTTTCTTTACACTAAGAGTGGCACTTAGTGCATGTATGCGCCTTGAAATCGGATTCTTAGCTCAATTTGGACAGAGCGCTCAGGGCTATTTCCTGGGACGGTGGTGGTTCGAATCCTCCAGAATCCTTGTTTATTAAGGAAACATAAGAATTGAGTCTTAGGATAAAGAAATTTTGTATTGAAAAATTGAAATATTTATGCTGAATTTATTAGTGGAAAGAAAGTCACGTATTTCAATTATTTTTAAAAATTAAAATTGAGTTTATTTTTATTTTTTTTATTTTTTATACATAAATCTGGTTGTAGGGATGGTAGTCAAGGCATCCTGATAATACCTTGAACCATGCCTAGAGGCTTTGTTCTCAAATCTTTTATTTTTAAAATAGGCTATTCATTAAAGGGTACAGTTTGCATAGAGCTGAGGCTCTAAACAAATAAAATGCAGCCCACTTTCAAATAGTATCAAAAAATGTGATTTCAATATTGGAAATCTTTGTGATAGCTTTAAAATATATTTTCAACTTTAATTCTAAAATTTAAAGGTTAAAAAAATAGTGTAGAAGGAGCGTATTTATGAAAACTTGAAAATCTTGAAAATTGATGGTCCAAAACGCATTACAAGATACACTACTTTCAAAACTTAAAATCTATTTTTTTTTCATGTCCATGCATCTTGATTTCAAGATGATCAATTTGAGGATATTTGGGCATCAAAATAACCTCTTATCGTGAAATTTATTAGGTGGGCTCTAATTTAATTGTTTAGAGCCTCAGCTCTATATAAACTTTTTCTTTCATTAACAAAATCTTCCAAAGACGATGATCTGATATTATTCTTTATCCTTTTAGAAATGGGTGACTAAAAGTCCCTCAGTTTTCTATCTTTTGGGTTCTCTTGATGTTATGTATCATTCATCAAAACACACTTAAATTGCCCAAGTAGGCTAACTAATGGATATGGGTTTTTTTTATGGTATTTTTAAGTTAAATAAAACAACAATAAAAGTTTAAATAGTTTTGACTTCATTTTGAAGGGTTCTTAAAAAGATGTGGCAAAATTTTAAGTTGGCCATCTTACCTAATACAACCTTCATCCTTTATCCGGTCTTGGGCATAACGAATTTTATGTGCGGCATACCGATGAAATTAAAAATGGAAGTTTTCGTGGATGGTTGTAAGACCAAACCATGCTTATGGGATGAAATGTTGAGCAGGCAAGAAAAAACATAGCCTCACATAGCAATGTAGCTGAGATGAGGGTGTTGAACTATGGAGAGAGAGCGAGCAACACCGACGAGCAGCCACCAACACACCGCCATCAAGAAGCAAAGCCATCGACGAGCACAAAGAGATGTTTGGGCTTGAGCGACAAGCAACCACAGAGGAGCCAAGCTACTGACAAAGAGCAACTAGTGAGCATAGCCACAAGCAAGATATAGCCAGATCCCGCCATCCTAGACCCAGCCATCCTAGACTTACCTTTGGAGGGAGCACGGCAAGCCATCAGCGGCCCGGATGCACTACCCAATGACGTCTCTTTCCACAGGCTGGTGGGTTGTCCCAAACCCCATCTTGAGATGCTATTGTTCTGGCTCGAGTAGAGGAGAATACAGAGTTCGGTATCTGAGGAAGATGCTTTTGAGTGTTATAGTTGGGGTCCATGGTAATGTACGGACCATTTGGGGTGAGAGGTGTCTATGTTTTATTCATTTAGGAAGAAGGTTGTTTTTGGAAGTAGAGAATTGTATTTCTTTATTTCTTCTTATTATTTTGGAGCTTTGCTCTTTTATGTATAATGAAATAATTGTGAATTTTGTCAAAAAAAAAAAAGGTGGTGTTGAGATGAATGAATAGTAAGCTAATAAATGATAAAATTAGTAATAAATATATAAGAGGGAACTTAGGGATAGCTTTAATAGGTGATAAGATGGGGGAAAACATACTTAAGTAGGCCGATCATGTGATGTAGACCTATTACAACACCGGTTAAGATAGATGGTTTTGTTCATGTTTAAAAGGACAAGGGGAATCTCAAAAGGACATGTATGGAATAGTAAGAAGAAATATAGTGACTCGTAGTATGATCGAGGGCGTGGCCCTTTATAGAGTATAATGATAGAATAGAATTCATGTAATCGAACTCAAGTACTTGAGATAAGACTTTGATAATGATGATGATGATCTTTATTTTTATAGTGGCGTATTATGTATTTACTATCTCAAGTAAAATTCAAGTTCGGACCCCAAAATTTGGGAAGTTATCCATGGGACTTAACAACCAACTTCAAAGGGAAAAAAAAGACCGTAACTCTCTATGAACCTAAAGAATAACATTCTAAAGTGGTTAAAAATAATTTTAATCAAATGTAAAATTGGATAGATGCATTTATTCTATTGACCAAGCTCTATTTAAAATCAAATTGTAATCAATAAAATTACAACAACAGTAATACCATCCACTATATGTACAAGGTGTGCCTCACTCGCATTCACACCTCTCTTTCGATTAACTACTTTCAAATTCCAAACAATTTGTTCGAATAACCTATCAAAATGGTTTTGAAACACCTCAATATATACTAAAATCTAAAATTACTATTGTTCATTTACATTAAAAAAAAAAAAGATATTGTAATTTCATTTAAAATTAGGGAAAATTAATGAAAACCCCCCTTAGACTCTACTTTCCAGAAATACTCCCTCTCACCAATAACGTTTTAAAACACTAAAAAAACCCCTTTCTTTTTCGAACTTTCCCTCAATTAACAAGTCAATAAATTTATGATCAAAACACCCTCTCCCCCTTATACCAACGTTTTCTAATGCTAGTTCAGCACAAAATACGACAGGACTAGCCATTATGAAATCAATGTGCTTAACTGGAATCAATTTTCGGTCCCGCACATCAAAAGAAAAAGGAACGGGCGAGTAAAAACAGGTCAAAATGGGAGAATTTTGGTAAAAAAAAAGAAAAAAAGTACCTTTTTAACTTGGGGGTAGAAGTAAAAGAAAACAATGGAGTTCATATAGTGATATTAAAAGTGTTTTTTTGGGGTAGTAATTATCCCTTAAATTAATAAGGGTAAAAAAATAGCTTCGCTGCCCTAAAAAATGTGGGTATTGATAAAATAAAAAAAACAAGAGATAGGTATTATTAACTTGAGAGACGTAGTCAAAAGGATGGATAGAGCAGAATGGCATACCCCAAATAATTGAAAAAAAGATCGATGATTATGATGACGTAGTCAAGGATGCCCTGTCATAGAATCTCCCTTGGGTTTTAGAAAGAAAATTTTCATTGGAGAAAAAACTTGATTAGGGTGGTAAGAAATTAATTGAAGGCCCAATAAATTTCCAGTTTGTCATGAAGGGATTATTAAGGCGGGTTATCTCTTTCTGTTTAAAGTATGATAATACGGTATTCTGCAAACCCTTTGGGAATAGTTTTCATCTACCACATAAGGCAGTGGAGTTTCTCGAATTGACTTCTTTGTTAATTTAAAGAATTGCCTTCCCCTATACACCTACAATCTATGTCCTCACTCAGTTTGAAGAACGCTAGTTGTGAGCTCTCTTAAATTAAATTTCGATGGGAGTTCTTTTAGACAACCTGGGTCTGCTAGAATTGGCAGCTTGCTTAGACCATTTTTACATTGGACCTTGCAGCCATGCCACGGCCAACCAGGCTGAAATTTCATTCCTTTTACAAGGGCCAGAAATTATCGTCAGCATTTTTGGATCGGCTGTTTGCTATGGAATTCGATGTTGTTTCAGCTTTCATTCAATAAAAGTTTTAGCATTGTAAAAGAAAAAAAAACATTAAGGCGGAATTTCTTTTCCACCCGACTCGTATAGAAAGAGTAGAGCACGTACTAAGATAAAAACCAACAATGCTGAGATTACTCTTCATTCACCTTTCTCTATTTTCTCATACTCTCCTTCCTCCCCTCGTCTCCTCATCACCACTCATTCACTAACCGCACGATAAAGATGAAGATTAAACCTTACCTATTCAATACAGAAAAATAACCACAGGGTTATCCTCCACATCTCTAGTAAAAAGGAGAACAAATAATTATATTTGAAGAGAAAACCCTAATTATTCCTATTCTCTTTCCTCATCCCTTTTGAGGAAAAAAAGAAAAGGAGAGAGTTCAGGAGGGATAATTATTGTAGAAGCTTTTGCAAAAAATGTCTCTTCAGTCTTAAATGAAGGTAGGCTCTAATTTGATTGTTTGGAGCCTAGGCTCTATACAAATCTCATCCAAAAAAAATATCAAGGAAGAACATAGAACAATCTGGATAGAGTCAATTTGAGCATCAAACCTTAAGCTACAAGGCTATATAACATGTAACAAATCAGTTTTTCCAATTCATTAAACTTAATGAGGAAGAGAATTTACAAAATGGAAGCAGCACCGCGATGACCCCCAAGAAACAGGTGAAGAACAAAGAATAGTCACCTTCCATTACAACAAATTAAAAAAATATATCCTAAAATTGCTTAGAAATCAGAACTAACCACTTGAGCCTCTGTCCAGACAAGAATTAAAAAGAAAAAAAAAATGGAAAAAAAAATTCCATTCAAGACAACTATGAACAACACCTCACCTTGTGAGTTCACATTCAAAGTCGAGAATTGTGCCAGTGTCAATGGCCTTGGCCTTGGAGCATGCTCGCCTCAGCGAGCGCGGGCTTAAGCCTGGATATGATACGCCACTCTCCATATTCCTCTCCTCAAGGGTCAAATCGGTCAACTTCCAAGGTGGAGAGCTTGAGCTTACCTTTCGCTTTTTACTGTTCATGAGAGCACCATCACTGCGAGGCTCACTATCCATTAAGCATCTAGTTAATCCTGACCTTCGTCCCATAGGCATTTTATCCAAGAGCTTCTTCACTGATGTACTAATCACTGGGCTCTCATTCGGTCGAGGGCCAGGGGTCAGTAAGCTCTCTTTTGATCGAGACTGGGTTATTGGTAAGCTTTCTTTTGGTAGAGACTCAGGCGTTGATGAGCTTTCTTTTGGTTGAGAAGTGGGCATTGGGGTCATCCCCACTTTCAAATTGACACTTCGTGGTATCATTGGAGCATGGCAGAAGTCTTGGTTGGCATGATCTTTTGCATGGTCTTCTGAATGGGATACAAAGATAAGATCATAAATGAGAAAAAAGTGCGAGAATTGCTTTCCCATTGAAAAACCTAAATCCTTTAGAACAGAGAGAGAGTAGTGTCAATATTAGTGATATCTGATTCCCAGTAGTTTTGGAAGCATAGAACTTAAAGAAAAGCAACTTGAAAAACTCACTAAAAAGACCTTCAAAACCCAATATTGCAAACACTTTCTGAGTTGTGTATTCTTTTAGATTTCAGATAGAATCCCGTACAAAACCCTAAACAAAGATCATCTATTTTGTTTTATTAGAAGTAAAGCTGCTAACATTTGGTATCTAAATGAAAGAGAAGCAGGCTGCTGTCTGATCAAAATATGTACAAGAAGCAAGCAAATTTTGAAAGACAATATTAGGAATAGGATGGCTATGAAACCAGAGAATGGGGGACGAAACTATATGTGGTTTGCCAAACTAGCTAAAAAGTGTTTTTGGTACAGCCCCTTCACCCCAAGCAAAAAAAGACCGGAAAAGTATACTTCCATCCATTGGACTACAAAACAAGAAGACCTTTTTTATCATCACCATCTAATGAAATGATGGGCATGATAGGGAGAGCCAGACCCTACCAGAACAAGACAACTCCAATGGTCAGCCATACTCTCACCATCACTGGTCACAAATTCATCAGATAGTGATGATCCTGATGGATTACAGTTTTCATAGTCCATCACACCATAATATACTTCACCAAGATCAACATGTTTATTGTGTAACCACCTGTACCATTTCGGATTAAAAAAAAGAAGAGGAAATCATCCAGCTCGGCCCCAAATCAATGAAGGGAAAGAATAAACAAATGCTAAATAAAAGGATAAACATCTATCTCATCAGATGGTTTGCAAGAGAAACAAATAAATAATATTTTCTACCTTTGTGTTTGGATTGCATACTGGGAATCAAAGGATGGGGTGCCATGGGGCAGGCAGGGATGCTTATGCTGGTAGTGGCAACATCAGTATCACTACCGGAGCTGCTACATTCTTCTGGCCTTGGAGGTGACACTTTTGACTCTTCAAGCACTGACTTCGGAGAGCTTGAGGAGTGATTGATTTCCTCACACTTTCTTTGAGTCTCCATTAAATTTGAAAACCAGGGTACACCCCGCCTCTTGTAGAATAATATATATGCCTCTTGGTTGAGTACATATTTAGCATTTGATCTCCTCACCTAGTCAAGACAATCAAGAGCAAGGAATCAAACACCACATAAAAGAAACTAGAACAACATAAAGGGATTTGACCAAGAGGCAAAGTTCAATTAAGACTGGGCAGTCAAAAGAGAAGATGCTTCGTTTTCAGAAATCCAAGTTAGAGAAAACAAGAAGACATTAGTAGCAATGTGAAACCTATATTGAGATTCTGTTCTAGTCTTAGGCTGGGATGACCCCTAAAAGGGTATGATATGCTATCCCTCACACACCAAATTGTGGGACAAAATAATAAAAGATTGATCCGACTTCTAGCCAACAGTTGGAAATTAATTGTTAACTTCAGAAAATGGATCCAACATTGGTTATTTTCCTCATTTATTGAAAAGTTTTTTATTTGTTTGAATCTGACCATTTAATATGTTATCTTCTTTATTTAAAGAAAAAACATAAAAGGTTAGCCATATCTCAATTTGAAATCAGAAATATTGATTTTCCAGGTTTTCATTGCATATTAAAGCATATGTGCTAAAATGTGAGAATCCAACATAGGTGACTGAAGGTAATATGTGTTTATCACATAACAATACTTCAAAGTTCAAAATGAATGATATGTTAATGTATGACAGTTCAAACCCATGTAAAACACATTTTACCAGTCTACAGTTGTATGTTAAAGGTATCACAGGTGCACGCGTGACACGTGCATATTCATGTATTTGTGTATGTGGTTGTAATGATCTCACAAGACTGATGCAGAAAGTGACGGCTAATGCAAATTATCTAAATAACTAATTCACTTTGGAGAAATATATTTATAAATGATAGCTTGGTGCATATTATTCATGAAGGAATTCATGCAAAGAAACATACCTGTGTATCATCCAATCTGTGCCAAGAGTCTGGTGAAGAACAAATAAAGCAGAAGTAATGACCATAATTGTATGAATTGCCAGAATGGACAAGAACCGCATACAAATCATATAGAAAATCATCCTACAAACAAAACCCGAAACTCTTTAGCCTTACAGAACGTAATGTCAAATCATAAAGGAAACAAACATTCTCCTTAGACAAAGCAGCCTAAGTAAATAAGCAGTCTTGAAATTACACAATTGTTCATTCCAAAGTACGAAAACAAATTCTAAAACACTCACACCATTAGACTTCTCACAAAGCTGTACATCATAAACAGCGGTACCAAAATATGTATGCAGATTTACCTACTTGGGATTTGAAATTGAACCATGTTTCACCTTATTGATGGACGAATTTTAAGCTTCTCCATATCATCAAATGAATGAAGGCCATAAGAAACATAAATATTTAAATTAAAAAAAAAAATTCAAGAGAACAAGCGAGCATCGTGAGTACATTTTGCAAGTCTAGGCACACCAGTAATGTCTTAAGTTTGAAAAAAAAATAAAAATAAATAAACAAATCTTTGCAATAAAGTTGCTATCAGATATGAAAATACCTGCAGAGGTGTTCTGATCATTATTCAGGAATATGCTAAGCTAAACACTAAAACAAAGGTGAGCATTTATTAGTTCACCATGCAAATACCTGAAAAGATTGAATGTGCTTGTAAACTTTGCCTCTTAACAGAATGGGTTAGCCACTTTTCCTAGATAGGTATATTCTTAAGTCACCTTTTATAACAGGAGGGAACATAGGCAGTTCAAGAGACCAGATTCCATATTCCCTCTACTAAGAGGAGACATTAGTGCAACAAATTCTTATAGATGGAACAAAAATAAACTTGATATTCTGAGGAGAGACAATCAAGGACTGATGCATAGACAAGGAGTTTCAACCCCGAAATATCAGCTAAGAGACAAGAAGATTATTGGCCTTCGGCAATATCAATAGACAACAAAAACAGGTTGAGTGATCAATCTTGGGAAATGAGAAAAAGATCTCCCACCTTTCACTAGAAGTGAGATGGGAAAAAAAAACCATTAATATTACACATACTTTACTGGCCATCCTAGTAAGAATAATAGCTTTCTAATAGTAGTCTATGAACATATGTTCAGATACAACTCATTTCGAAATTTTATAACACTTTTAGCGGTTGTTGAAGGTCGGTTAGATACTTGGAATATTGTCTATTCATTTTTCATCCTCAATGTCCAGGGTCTAATGAGAGACTCAGTGTTAACCAAAATGATTCCAAAAAGAAAAGATTTAACCAAAATGAATTTCAAAACCAAGGTCCAGGGTCTAATGAGAGACTCACAGTGTCACTTTGTGAGCTGCAAATGAACGGCTGCAAATCCAGTTCTAATGGGTACTCCACAAACTTGCAAACCTTCTCCACATTCGAACCATCGTTCTGGAATCTCTTCAGGTGAAATGTAGCAACAGCAGGGGCTTGGTCCAGTGCCAGCTGCTTCTCCACCGATACTTGCTGCTTACAACCATCACAACCAAACTTAACCTCAGGATCATCAATAGTTTCTACCTTTGTGAATGACTTCAGAGCAGCATATAGGGTTTCAGCTTCGTCTATCTCCAAACTCAGACCAAGCGAACTCTCATAAGTATCTGAACAATGGCCACAATTGTGGCATCTTACCTGAAATTATCACCCACAGATTAGAATTTGTTGGACAAACAAGCTATTCCTTGATTTCATACTATCAGCCCCAAGCCACCAAACTGAAATTGTAATGCTGGAAGTAGTAAATAACTCACCACATTCCTCTTAACATAGTTCAGCCCGATAGTCAAAAGCTTCAGGTAATTTACCCATGTTAAGGAAATTCTTAAGAATTTCCAAATGAATCGATGTTATAAAGACAAGAAAATTATGAGAGAAGTAGCATAACAAAGATGACAACCATTACCTTTTATGCCTAGCATGAGAAAGCTGTCCAAAGGGCTTCAACCAGAATAACCAAATCATGAAAAACACAAAGAAAAAGAACAGGAACTCCAAACTATGACCCATATTCTCACTCTAAGATACAGATGCAGCAATGCTTCAATCATGTTCAGGTTTTGTTAGCTAGAATTAGATGATTCAAGGGAGAGAGATATTTCATTATGGTCAGCTTACCCGGCTTCTTATATGGCCTCCAAAAATCTGAGTCACGAAGCTGTCACTCTGCCTAGACAAGGAAGCGTTTGGAGGCTTGACGCATTCATGGAGTTTGTCCAGAAAGCAGTGTAAGAACTCATGAGCATCTTCTTGCTGAAAAACTTCGAACGACGAACAAATTTCTAAGAAAAGTTAAGGATATGCACATTTATCCATTTAGACAATACATTTTCCTTTCAATTGTTTTCTTTGCTAGTCTTCCAATTGGTTTTTTTCTTTCTGAAACCTTTTTGGATGGACAGTTGTCATATTCTACAACAATGCACATTATATAAATGCTAACTATTCATTACAAATGAATACCAAAATACACCCATTTGTTAGATTCATAAAAGATAGTGAAAGCACAAAGGTTCAACTTACATGGACATAATAAAACATGAAAGAAAACCTTTTCAGACTTAAAGAATGGAGGAGAAAGGGCATCCTCTTCTTAAGTTTGCTAAGTCAGAAATATTTTCTAAACAAGAAAAGCTGTGAAGTCCAAATTAACTGACTCACCACAGCATATTCAATTCTAAATTAAGAACCAACAAATTCTTTCAAAATATATACATAAGGCATTCCTCTTCAATCAATTATACCAATCTTACATGAAATTTAGTAAAACCTTCTAGATTATGTACGAAAGCAGCAGATATATAACAATTCAAGTAACTATTATCAAATCATAGAACTTTCGTAAATCTGTGGAAATCTGGAACTGACCACTAAATCAACCTACTTTAGTTATGATGATAGAAAAATGTCAACTGGAAGACAACAAAGCAATGCAGGTCACATAGAAAGAGCATTAAGTTATTTTCAAAGAATGATTTAGTTCCAAGTCAGGTAACTAACATTATGTATGCTCCAAATCAGAAAATGTGTCTTGTTTCTCTAAATCTACAAAAGAAGCCATGATTTCAAAATCTAGCAACAGAGACAAGCATAGAGTGAAGTCTTTTGTAAATAATTTGGCATCATAATCTTCTCTCTTCTCTGGAATATAGCAATCAATTTACCCAATTCAATAAACAGCCAATCTCTCCAATAAAGCATGATTTGCAATGCGACATTTTCTTGTTGACGGAAAACAAAGTCTTGTCGCCATCAGGTAGTGTACAATGGCAACTGTCAGATTATGTAGTTGAGTGCATTCCATATTGCTGAAACTAACAGGGTACTCCTAAAATTGCATCTCTTATTATTTTATATTTTTATATAGGAAAAAGTTTATACAAAGCCAAGGCTCTAAACAATCAAATTAGAACCCACCTCAAAAATTTCACTAGAAGAGGTTGTTTTGATACCCAAATGTCCTCAAATTTATCATCTTGACATCAAGATGCATGGGCATGAGAAAAAAAATGGGTTTCAAGTTTTGGAAATAGCGCATCTTGTAACGTATTTTTGGACCGTCAATTTTCAATATTTTCAAATTTTCATAGATCTGCTTGATCTACACTATTTTTGAAACTTTAAATTTTATGATTAAAGATGAAAATATATTTTAAGGCTACCACAAAGATTTCCAATATTGAAACCACATTTTTTGACACTATTTGAAGGTGCACTTTACTTTGATTGTTTAGAGCCTCAGCTCTATACAAACCGCACCCTTTTATATATGCCCTTCATTGCCATTAGAATAACGCCATAAAGGCATTTGTATTATTGTATATAGGCCCAAAGCCCACCATTTCATGGATAATGAGACCATTTCAACCTCTTAGACCCATCATTTTAAAACCCATCCGAGTCAAATCAGACACAGACGAGTTACTCAGACTCAGCACCTTGCCAAACCTTTCTACATACAAACTCAATTATATAAAACTTATAACAAATCATAAAAACTATACGTTTCTACTAAATCAATGTATAAGTATACTATATATAATTTTGATGTTTATAATGATAATTTGTGAGTTTTTTCTTATCACGTGCTATATTTTTTCTATTTTTTCCTTTCTTAGATTTTTTTGAATTTTTTCAACCTATAAATCAATTTTTTCCCAATTCCATATTTTATATATTTTTAATCTTATTTATCACATTTTGTTTGTTTTCTACTGCTTTTCCCTTTTTTAACAAATTTTATTTTTTTATTTGTTAGCCCTTTTTTGGTCTCATACACTACTCAGCCCAAGTTACCCAGCTCGGCTGGGACCTAAGTCTTGAGCCCTAGCCGAGTATTTGAATCTTGGTCAGATCCTCAGATTAAACAAACTTATCCACAAATTCAAGTTAAGTTTAGCTGGGAGCATTTACCCCTAACAATATATAATGCAAAAACTTTCCATTCGCAAAAATACACTAAAATAAAGAAATCCATATTTCTTGTCAAATAAGGACCTGAGAGAACTGACATCAATAACAAACGACACAGACTCTGTCAAACACTCCCATACTGAGTTAGGGAGAACCATTGAATTCAATTAACCATGAAACTCAAAAGAAGAAGCCACCGAGTTAGTCAAAAACAATACTGGATCAAAACTACACACATAAAATTCTTTCCTTTGCTAAAAATTAGCAGAAGTATATGTTGAAGCAAAGAAAAAAAACATGAATATGGTAAAAAGGATACTATTCAAGTTCTCCACCAGATAGCGGGGGTGGACGCACCCACCAGATCTGGATAAACACCAATCAACATGCTCACGAAGATAACATAAAGCACAGAAACCATCCGATTCACCTTCAATTTCCCAAATTTAAACCAAATATGAGGAAACAGAAAACACTTTAATTTAACTTTCCTATCAGATGAGAAATATAAAACAAAACAATAGAAGGCCATGGACATAAGACTTCAAAGAGACGAGGTTGAAAGATTATAGAGAAGCAATTTCATTCTCCTGACAAATATGAAATATCTAACAAAATAATCGAAGATTATATACCACAGAAAATTTAAAGAAGCACAACACTGAGAGAAAACAGAGAATCTTTAGAAGTATCTTAACAATGCAGAGGTATGGTTGTGAAGGAATAAGCAAGAAAAAAAGGAGAAGCCTGCAAATTCTATAACCAATCATTCAGACAACAAAATATTTACTTAAGTAATCCAATATCGCTATCAAATACAGAGAAAAACACCAACAAGAATAAATTACCTGGGCAAACATGACTGCATGTTTGAAGGCTCAGAAGAAGAGGCGCAGTATGAGTGATGCATTGCATAACAGCGTTCATGAAGCATGTGTTGCCAAGATTAACTAGTCCTGCACCCTACAAAAGACACAAATGGAATAATTAAAAGAACAAATAAATAGATAATGAAATACCATAATAGCACTCATTAGAAACCAAAATCAAATTGGAGATCTTAGAGGATAGACATGGAGAAAGACAGAGACTGAGATAGTGAAAAAGGGCCAAGGAAAACAATACGAGAATAAGCAAGCAAAGGAAGAATGAATGAACCCTAATAAGAGAGAGAGAGAGAGAGAGAGGAAAAGATACGCAGGAGATAAAACAGAAAAGAAAAGAAAGAAAGAGGAGAGAGATTTTACCATTGGAGATGGAGGCCTGTAATCCATGAAAGAATAAAAAGAAGAACAAGGTCGTTCTTGGAGGACATTGAGCGCCATGGGGTCTCGTTTCGTCAATGATGAGCGTGAAGGCGGAGCAGAGGATTCTTCCAGGGCATCGTGCTCCATGGGAGCTGGTCTTTCACCAGAAGCAACAGGAGAAGCAGAAGCTGAGGGTTTTCCTTCCATAGGTATCAAATATGATGGTTCCGTGACTGAGGAAGGAGAACCAGGTGATTCTTGATGGTCGTTATCCGCCATTGAAGCTGGCTTCTTAAAAGGAAATAGATGAGAAGAACAAGAAGAGGGTTTTCCTTGGAGAGGACTGCAACCTCGTGGTTCCATTAAAGGGGAAGACGAGAGAGAACCTGACGATCCTTGAGCGACATTTGCCGTTGAAGCTGGTTTCCTGGGATCAGAAAGAGAAGACCTAGAATCGGATAATTGCGCATGGGGAGAATTAAAAGGTGATTCTTCTCCCCAAGATGAGGATTTTTGAGGGGAAGTCTCCCCCATAGAAATTAACGAGAAGATCGCCATTGGGCCTTTGTGAGTTGCAGAGATCGCCAGTTAATTTCACTAAGTGGGGGCTCCCTCGGTCTCTGGTTCTCCCTTCCCGTATTTTAATGGGGGAAGAAAGAGGGGGAAATAGGAAGAGGAAAACTCAAAAAATTTTGGTTTTGAAAGTGGGAGGGAAAGCTCCACCCGCCAGTCTCTCTCTCTCTCTCTCTCTCAATCGACTTTCTCTCTCCACGCGCAATCGAAATAGAAAAAGTTGTTTAACAGTCGACCAGAGAGAAAGAGGAGAGAGAGAGGCATTATGAAAGGAGAGAGAGGCATTATGAATTTTTTAACAGGAGGAGCAGTTTACTTTTACGGCAGTCTAGGGTTTGTACTTTTGGTGGGTTTGTAATTTTGTGTTGAGCATGTCCCTACTTTTATGTAGGATCCTTGGTGTTGAGGGACCAAATTGTGATAAGAAGTAGGAGTGGATAAAGTATGTACTTAATTTAGGGGAGGTAATTATCTTTAGGGGACGAAATTAAAAGATGCCTAAGTTTGTGGGGAATGATAATTATAAACTAAAACGCCCGCTCTTTTCGTGCTCACCTTAAATTTGCCAAAAAGATATTTGGGGACCTTAATATTTTTTTAAGTGTTAAAAAACTCAAATTTTAATATTTTTTTTAGGATAAACATCTAGTGATTCTTGCGGGGTTCTCATAATTTCGAATTGAAAACATCCTCTTATGTAATTTTCTTAAATTTGTTTTCATGCTTAATTATGAAATTTAAAACTCTACCGTTTGTAGAATTGTTTTATTGTATGTTAGATAACTTGAAATCTGTTTCCATATCTAATTATGAAATTCAAATTCTTAATTATGCAATTTGAGCTTATCTATAAACGATTGACAATTAATGGCGAAATTAAAATTCTTAATTATGCAATTTGAGCTTATCTATAAATGATAGAGAATTAATTGCCTAGATAATAAGTTGAATTAATTGCCTAGATAATAAGTTTGCATTTGATATTTTGGCTAAAGATAAGCCGTGGAATTTACATTTATCAACATAATTCTTAATCGTGGAGTTTGAGCTTATCTATAAATACTTGAGAATTGATGGTGTATATAATAAATTTTGTATTTAATATTTTGGATAAAGACAAACCATAAAATTTGTATTTATCAAGTCCAAGGTGAATGTATATTTTTCTGCATTCATTTGCAATTTACATACTATTAAATATAAAATGAATCGATATTTGTTGGGGTCATGTATTAACAAAAATTCGAGATTGCTTGAAAGATCTCTATACGAGGGAGAGGAGATAATGGCGGCCTCATTGGATAGAAGACATGAATATCACGGAAGGCGAGGAGATAATGGCCTCCTCATGATTATCACGGAGATCAAGGCAGGCACCCAGCCACCGAGTGTAGATGCACGGGGCTTGGGACATCATCGTGACACAAAATTGTCACCACTATATAATATACGGGAGATAAGTCGACCCTCCTCAAAATTGCCAAAATTTTGATATCGGATCCAATATAACATAAGTTTCACAATGTTAACCAAAATTGCCAAAATTTAATTTAAGATTCGCCTGAGACATCCTCAACAAAATTTAGGGCATCTTGATATCGGATCCAAAATAAGAAAGTTTAGAGTTCTATCGGATCCAATATAAGATAAGTTTAGAGTTGCATAGATGATGTCTATGCATGAAATAATATAGACAACTTAGTAACAATTATGGATAGATAACTATCATACCTATGAAGAGATGGGTAAAAGAATATAAAAAACCATAATAACAATTATAGATAAATAACTATCATAGAACACCTAATCTTAGGATGAGATGCATATCCATCATAGGGCACCTAAGGATGACATACATATCCATACGAGGGTGAGATTTCATATCCGGGTGAGATTTCAGATGGATATTGACCGGATGAGATTTCAAACAGATATTGACCGTGAGATCAAGATCCAAGAGAGGGGCAGTTTCATCATATACAAGAGAGGGCAGATTTTCAGAAGAGGTAGATCTTACATAATGAGTTTTAGGGTGTGAGATTTCAGACGGATCTCGACCATGAGATCAAGATCCAAGAGAGGGGCGGTTTTTTTCAGTAGAGGCATATATTTCATATTGAGTATGATTTGAGACGGATTTGGGCTGTGAGATCAAGATCCAAGAGAGGGGCGGTTTCCAGTGAGTGAGATTTCAGATGGATTTCGACCATGAGATCAAGATCCAAGAGGGGGGCGGTGGTTTTTAAAATGAGGCGGATCTTTTAGATATGCTATTTTTTAGATGGGGCCGATCAATCATTTTAGAGGTTATTTTCAAAGGTGGATTGAGAAGTGGATTTCAGAGAGAATAATATCTTCTTCTTTCACCACCCTCATTATTCCATAGAGAAAAAGAAACCAACTCATGGAGAAACTAACTCTCTTGGTATGATAACAGGAAGTTGTGAGGATGGAGCTATTACTATACACGTTATGTGTTTGATGCATGAAACTTATACAATAAAGAAATTCTTCTAGATCGGGCTTGATCTGGCCGACCCGATCAAGTCTCTCATGATCTGGCTTGGTCGACTCAATCATGATATTGAAAAATGGGACCTTTTCTCGAAAACCTTTTGTGAGGGGGCTTTGGTCAATCAATGACAATGACAGTTGATTGACCAAGGCCTCCCCCCACGAGGATGGAATTTATCCATTTGGTACCTCAAACATATATACGGATGAGATAAAAAACGCCATCATTGGGGCAAACAATAGAATAGCTTCAATTAGAGCAAAACCCAAAATGGCATTACCAAATGATTGTTTAGTGAATGTTGGATTTCGTGCAAGCAAGTGCGCGCCCGTCTTCGCAACGGACAGGGGGGGGGCAGGGTGGTGCAAGGACATGAGGTGAGCAGTCTTGCTACTGGAGCTCTTTCCTTCATTGACTGGATGAGAAGAGGGGTCTGCATATCCTCACTCGACGAGACTTCTGATCAAGAAGCCCTTTCAAATAATCTTCTACTCAGAAAAAATTAATGATTAAAAAAGTTTTTTTAGCACGACAAGACTCACTTGACATACCCAACTTTTTTTTATTGGCTCACTTGACTTACCCAATTTTTTTTGATTGATCCCATTACTCCTCCTTATCCTCAAAGATCGTCCTCGGAAAGCAAG